CTCCTTCTCCTCTTCCTCCTCCTCCTCCTTCTTTTTCTTCTTCTTCTTCTTCTTCTTCTTCTTCTTCTTCTTCTTCTTCTTCTTGCTCTGCAAGATCAAAGGCGTTGTCGATTGCTGGTTCATCAACTGATTTTACGTATGTGGCCGGTTATTTTTCTATTAAGTAGGACCTCTTACCTTCAGGCAAATTACTTTCCTATTTTGAAGGTACTCTATCATAATATGTTTCATACTGACGAGAGTATATTCAGTTTTGATATGAATTCTTTTCATATTTTTGCCCGAATGGCGACAGAAGCCTACTCTTAATAATTTTAGGACCACCACGGGATCTCCAATGTGCTCAACTTGCACTCGAGACCTCCAAGATGTTTCACCCTTATCATAGAAGGCTAGTTGTTCGATCTTTCCTACCCTAAGATCAGGGGTGTTGCTGAAAGACAGCAGTAAGAATCAACAGCCCGAATCACGGGCTAACTATGCTAATTTGAACACCTCCTCTGACATAATGAAGGTATGAAGGGTGGTTGTTCCTTTTTGCTGAATTTGATGAAAAATATATCGCTCTATATACCGACCTTCTACTCTGAAGAGATAAAGTGAGGATGATGCATGGGTGTAGGTGTTGGAGCGAAGGTGGATTTCGAAGAATGGAGGAAAGGGAGGGGTATCTCCCATTTTTAAAACTTCATTTCATAATATGAAGGGGTATTGTGTATTTAGGGGTCTCCGGATATTGGCGGACATTTTTTTCTCTAAAATTGTCTCCTTTCACCTCCTTTCTTCCTCTCAAGCAATGTTCTATGGTCTGCTTACGTCTCCACTTTCTGCCCACACCCCCTTACCTCCTTTACCTCTTCCTCGGGGCTCATGACTCTTTCTACAGCCTTTATACTGCTACTCCTTGGCTCCTTCTTACAGCTGTCTTTCAGCTACACCCCTGATCTATGGTAGGAAAGATCTACACCTAGCTTTCTCGGACAAGGGCGAAAATTCTCAGAGGTGGCTTGTGCAAGTTGCGCACGTTGAAGATTCCTTGGTGGTACAAAATCGATAAAAATAGACTTCGGCTGCCACTCGGGCAAAATTCAAATTTTCTTACAAACTAAAAATGTTTAAAGTGTCCTGCGCGATCATGCGACCTTATGCTGTTGTGAGCGCCGTAAAACACTTACTCTCCCCAAAAACAAAACAAAACATGTTTAATTAAATATCTTAACTAGGACGAGGGCATCGCCCCTCCCTTTGCAGGGCCAACCCGGGCTAAGAGAGATGAAACATTCCAGCAGAAAGGTCGAGATACTCGGTACAAATTTGCCCTGAGCGTGAATCATACTGAGTGCGCCAGCGGAGGTCTTTGCTGCTGCACACCAGACGCCGGAAATCCGTTGTTGAAAAGCTTAGTAAGGAAAACCCCCCAACAAACAAACACGTATAATATCATTGTTATAAAGGCCAGTATTTTTGTTTTCGTTTTCTGAGTGGCTTTACTGGGTCCTTACCGCACACTCTCGAACGTCCCTGCCCCCCGCTCCCCCTTAGTTCACCACCACCACCACCAACACAACACACACACACACACACACACACACACACACACACACCCACACACACACACACACACTTTAAGTCTTTGGATTGCTTCGATGTACACACACGCTCGCGCGGGCTCGATAGACAAAAGACAAAGACAAAATAAAAAGCAAACAAACAGGCAAACAAAAGAAAGAAAAAAAGAACCATCCTTCCTCTTTTCTCTCTTTCTGTCTCTCTCTGTCTGTCTGTTTGTATCTCTCTCTCTTCTCTCTCCCTCTCTCTCTCTCTCTCTCTCTATCTATCTATCTATCTATCTATCTATCTATCTATCTATCTATCTATCTATATCTCTCTCCCTCTCTCTCAACTTCTCTCTCTCCCCCATTTTTTTCTCCTGTTCAGATCATAAATATACAGCTTGACCTTCACACTGAACATCTTTAAACAGCGAATTCCAAAACCCCGACACTACTTTCGTGTTCGAGAACAAACTAATTAAAATAAACAAATAAATAAACACACAAAACAAGAAAAAAAAACCCATCCAAACTCGTGCTCCTCGGGGGTTAACTGGGATTTTTAAAAACTGTCATAAAATGGCATGTTGGAATGTGTAGATAAAGTTCTAGTGAGCTAGGGATTTTAATATGCGCGTTTGGCAGGCTTTCAACGCTGTGCTCTTATGTGGGAAATTTTAATAGTCAAGATTTTTTTGTGAACTTTGATAATCTGTGGATCTAACACTATTTCATTTTTTTCTATTAGTTTCAGAATCCAAATTTTCGACAAAATCTGAACAATGCGTGTGTTGAATGTCAACAAACTCGCAACTTTCTTCTGAGCCGGATTTTCTTGTTTTATGCTTCAACCGTGACCGGCATCATACTTTCTCGACTGAAGTAGAAAAAACACAACCAAACAACATGATCTGACTGAAGAGGACGAAGAGGCAAGGCAGAGAAGAACGCCGAAGGAGAGGGGCGAACACAAGGAGGAGGACACAGAGGAAGGAAGACGAGAAGAAATGAAAGAAGAGGACGAACAGAGAGAGGGGAGAGCGATGGGAGATTCCGGGAACCAGCAGCTGGAAAAGGAGAAGGAGGATGAAGAGACAGAGCCTGTGAATGTGTTGGTGTATTTTTCGTTCCTTCTCGGAGGACTAAGCTATTTCACTCCTGTCTACAGTATCACAGCAGCGGTGGATTATTATGTGGTAAGTGTTTGTTTTTCACATGTTTGTCTGTTTGCTTTCTGTTCTCTGTGCGTCTGTTTGAGTGTTTGTTTGTTTGTATGTATACACACACACCCTCTCCTACCAGGGCAGTGCTACTGACTGAAGTGTCTTTTGGCCATTCCCGAAGGGTGGATATTAACATGATCTTATGCACGGTAGAAAATTGTAAATGGGCTGCTTTTTCAATGTCATGCTCATACTGTGCCGGAACAACATGGGGGGGGCTGTTGCTTTTTCTTTCCTTATCCCTACTTTTCGTTATTTTCCTCTACTTCTTTTGTATGTTTGTTACTCTCTTGTGAACTGCTATTTCCGGGGTGCCTTGACAGTCGAGGCAGACTTTGTGCTGTTGAGGCTAGAGAGTTGAGCGGAGTAAGTCTGATTCCCCGTTTGGACTTCTCTGTTGACATCCACACCTTAACGTTCATATGACCTTATGCAGTTGCGAGCACCATAAAATCTTCCTGAAACTAAACTAAACTAAATACACATACACACACGCACTCACACACACACACACACACACACACACACACAC